TTTTTTTGTTGTTGGTCATAGGGCTTGAACTCTGGACCTGGGCACTGTCCTTGAGCTCTAGCTCAAGGCTAGCACTCTACCACTTGAGCCATAGGGCCACTTCTGGTTTTCTGAGTGGTTTATTGGAGATAAGAGACTCATGGATTTTCCTCCCCGGGCTGACATTGAACCATGCTCTTCAGATCTCAGCCTCCTGAGTAGCTAGGATTACAGGCATGAGCCACCAGCGCCTGGCTGTCCCAGATCAAAACTTTTTTAAGAAATCCACTTAATTTTCTTTTTTAAATCTAAAACCTGAGTTCCAAGAATTTACTTTCTTACTGAAATGACTAGATTTCTGTATATACCAACTTTGAAGCTACACATAAGCAACTATGTATATAGACTGAGTGGATGGTATTTGGAGGCCCACTCACTTTCCATGACTGAACTGTTCTGAATTCAAATGATTGCAGATTGCATAGGACTATGTAGAACTGTGTGGTGAAAGTAAAGTCATAATTTTAAAAAGGATTTCTCAGCCAAGAGCTAGTGGCTCATGCCTACTCAGGAGGCTGAGATCTAAGTATCTCAGGGCAGCAGGAAAGTTTGTGAGACCCTCTCCAATTAAGCACACACCTACAAAAAAAAAAAAAAAAGGTGGAGGCTCAAATGGAATAGTGCTAGCCTTAAGCAAAAAAGATCAGGGACAGCACTCAGGTCCTGAGTTCAAGCCCCAGGCCTGGCACAAAAAAAGTGGAGAGGAGAAGCTTCTTAGATTTTGACATATAAATGAATATAACCTTCATTTTCTAACCTGAATTTTTAGCACAAACCCCAGCATATATCTCTGATACTGACTCAGTTGAAAGTACAGTATATTGATCATGTTACTGTCCCCTAAGGTCTTTTTTAAGCATTTGAACATAATTTCTCCTTCAAGAAAAGCTAAATGAACCAATAGTAAATCATGTTATACAAAAGAACTTAGTGTCAAGGATAGAGCTGAGGAAGTATGGTGAATTTACTGGCAATGTGTGGGTCTTCTTAATTCTAAGAAATATATTTATTCTATTTCATGAAACTACTATATGCTTGTCACTTCTCTGATTAGGTTCAGCAGTCCATAATGTAGACTGTAAGACAGTAATGCCATCAAACAAGATAGAAGTTTGCTTTTCTGTGAACTTAAAGTCAGGAGGTAGAGTCTACAGCTAGTATTGCAGCTTCATGGTCATTAGGGACACAATTTCTTAAATATATTAATGTTTTTGTCTTCAAGGTATTGTTTTAGGATGTCATTTTATATTCACTGCAGACTTATTAGCTAATCTGTTATTTTTGTGGTTAACATTGTTTAGAAATACTGGCATTCGAACTCAGAGCCTGATGCTTCTTACATAGCTGCCCTACTACTGGAGCCATGGTCCCAGACCTTGTTTGCTTTGTTTTTGAAAGATGTTCTAAGGTTTGGAGTATGAATTTCAATTTATTATAATTTCACACAGTAGCAAACATTCATGTATATTGTAAGACCTTTCTATATAATTCCATTTCCTCCTTCCATCCTTTAAGCAATTTGTCAAACATTTTTCTTCCACATACATTATGATCCTACAGTACACTTTAAATTATTTTTCTTTTAAATTATCTTTCAAAAACTTTTCAACGAAGGAGAAAAGTTTTGCATTTACTCATTTACTTATATGTACCATTTCTGGCACTCTTTTCCTTTAGCATAAATCCAATTTCCTTGCAGTCTCATTTTTCTTATGCCGAAAAGTTGTCTTAACCTTTCTTTAGTTCAGTTCTGCTGAAGACATTGTCTAAGCTTTTGTTTTCTTTAGCCTTCATTTTTGAAAACTATTTTGTCTAAAAACAGTATTTTACATGACAATTTTTTTCCTTTGAGCCCTAAAAATATGCCTTTTATTGTAGTCTGCCTTGAATTTTTATTGGAAGTATACTAAATTCTTATTTTGTTCCTGTCTACATAATATGTCTTGTTCCTCTGGCGGCTCTTAGTATTTTCTCTTTGTCGTTGGCTTTCAACAGTTTGATAAGGATGTCTCTTTTTTTGTGTGTCACCTCCACCATCCCTCTTGCTGCATCCCTTCTTTCACCTGGAACTGCAATTATGCAAGGTTTAGAAACTTGGTATTATCCTACAAATCGCTGAGGTTCTTTCTTTTTTCTCTGTACCATTTTTATTCTGTGCTTTATTTGGTTAGATTCTATTGCTTTGTAATGTACTTTTTTGAGTGTCTTCATTTGTTCAGTGTCTAATTTGCCTCGCTAATCCTATCCTGTAAATTTTATTTCAGAATTTATAATTTTAATCTCTAGGTTCTAGTTTTTATGAATTTAATTTCTCCTGTATATGCAGTGTGGTTATTGTGCCCATTTTCACATTGTCAACTGCTAATTCTGTCATGTGCACTTGTGGCTTTATGTAGATTGACTTTATTCTTGTCTATAGATTACATTTCAGTGCTTCTTTGTGTACCCTAGTGTTCTTGTCTCCTCCCAGGCATTTTCATGATCTACCTGCGTACATCTGAAGGGCTGGTGTCTATGTGGGTTCTATTATTGATTACTTTTCTGCTGAGCATACTATGCTACAATAGTATTTATTCCCATAATGCTCTTATACTGCTCTAATCTTCTTTCTAGAACCCAAGTCATATATGTAACCTACTACTACACTTACTTTTCTATCTAGATACCCCAGAGTCATCTCATCTCAAACTCCACATATCCAAAGAGAATTCGTTAAATTCCCCCTCATAGCTGTTCAACTCCTGTATTCCGTGACTCAGTGAATGGTTCCTCTAGATGGTAATTACACAAACCAAAAATCTGGGAGTCATTCTTGGCTTCTTCCTTCTAGTGGATTTATGATTGCTTGCCAGCTCCTATTCTTATTCTGGGTAATTGCTTCAACTTTTGTTTGTTTGTTTGTTTTCGTCAGTTGTGGGGCCTAAACTCTGGGCCTGGGCACTGTCCCTCAGCTCTTCAGCTCAAGGTGAGCACTCTACCACTTGAGGTACAGCATCACTTCCGGTTTTCTGCAGACTTTCCTGCCTGGGCTGGCTTTGAACCAGGATCCCCAAATCTCAGCCTCCTGCACAGCTAGGATTACAGGCGTAAGCCACTGGTGCCTGGCTTGCCTCAACTTTCTTAATCCACACCTCATCACAGTTTTGAGGACACTGCCTCCTTTTTCTTGAGGAGTAGGTAGATGTCATCATCTGGAGATAATTAGCTTCATGCCATCTACTGGCCACCATTTTTAGTTTATGTGTAGACATGTGACTCACTTATTAAGGCTTCTGGGAAAAGATGTACTTGCTGTTCTCCCCACTTTACAGTGCTCTCACATCTCTCTCTCCTTCCCCACTAAAATACACAAAGTCCTAGTAATCTTCACATTCATATGAGCTTTAAAGCATTTCCTGGCCTTTCTAGAGTCTGGATTAGTATGCACTTTCCTATTACAGTACTTGCCACATGGAATCTATTCATCTCTTTTGTAGAATAACCATTTTGAAAAAAAAAAAGGTATGTTTTGTTTACAGTTTTCTATCTCTATTTCTAAGCCCTAATAAAGTGCCTGGTACATAGCAAACATTCAATACATATTTTTCCAGTAAGCAAATAATTATGTGGTCTGCAGGCATCAGAATTACTGATCCTGAGATTCTTTGGAAGCCAACTCTTTCTTCTGTAAATGTGTGTCTGCTTCCTGGGCATGACCCCTTTTCTTCCACAGTGTTGACTTCTAGGTAAACTGAGAGGGGAAATCAAAGAGCTTAGGAGCAGGTTATCTCTAGCCCTCTGAAGAGTTAGTAATGAGTCCTGGCTTTCTCTGCCTTTCTCAGCATCACTTATACATACCTGAATGCCCAGAATGGGTGTAGACTTAGCTGACCAGCCCAACAACATACTCTTATACGTTGGTTCAGGTTTTACATTGCCAAATGAAAGTTGGCCAATACATATACACAAACAATTTAAAACTTTCTAGTCATCTTTTGAATTTTATGAAATTTTTATCTCTTAAAAATGGTAGGTCGGGGCTGGGAAGGTGGCTCAGTGGTAGAGCGCTTGCCTTGCATGCACGAGGCCCTGGGTTCGATTCCTCAGCATCACACAAGCAGAAAAAAAAAAAAAAGCTAGGTCTTAAGACGAACAAATCTGGAACATTTTATACTGATCAAGTAAAATACAGTGATGTGCATCATTCACGTTACCTTTGCTGATGCTAGTTGGACGTGAGTAATTGAGCAAAGAAATTATGAGATTATGAGATTCTGTTCATGGTGATGTTCCTAAAAATTCTATAAACTAAATTACTGGAAGCAGCCAGATTTCAATGTCTTGAATAAAGAAATCTGAATTAAGAAAGGATTCACTTAAGTCCAGAGAAAAGTGTATTTGTGATTTAGGACTTAGGGAAGAAAATTAAGCAACAATAAAGGATGAACTACCCGGAGGAAGACAAATTTCCCTGAGCACTTGTGAGAGGTGAAGCTAGTTGTTGGGAGTGGAGCTAAGTAGGAAGGATTGGCCATGAGCTGGATCCTCAACAGCTCTGAGATACAAGAACGGCCTTGTTTAGTCAACAGCAGTACAGAACACACTCGCTAGGGGAGCTGGTGACCATGGCAACGGCGGCCCCCCCCCCCCCATCCCTCCGACCATGCGCAGTGCAGAGGGAGTGCGACCCTATCCTCCACAATGTATCCCATTTCCTCCCCCCCCACTCCGTCGAAGAACTACAATTCCCAAGAGCCCTCGCGGTGCGGCGTCGCCGCCTTCCCGCTGTCGTCCTGCCCAGGGCTCCAACCTCAGGCCCCGCCCTCCTGCTAGTCTCCTCCCCTCCCTCCGTGTGTGTGTGTCAGTGACCCAGAGGCGGCGCGAGGCGGGGAGACCGTTGCGGGGGGGGCGGGGGGGGCGCGCCGCCGCCTCCGCCAGCAGCAGCAACAGCTACAGCAGCAGCAGCAGCTACAGCAGCAGCAGCAGCGGCGGCGGCGGCTACAGCAGCAGCAGCAGCAGCAGCCCCAGCCTTGCGGCGCGGCCGGATCTGCCTGGAGCGCACCACAAAGCCGGCCCTTCGCCTTTTCCTCACCAACGGCTCTCGAGCGCTCGACTACGCGGCCAACTTCGCCTGGCGGGGCTGGGCGGCTGGCGGGGAAGGAAGGCGGCGGCGGCGGCAGTGGCGGCGGCAGAACGAACGCCGGGGCTGCCCGTTCGCGTGGCCCGCGCACTCACCCTCGGCCCCCGCGCGCCGGGTCTCGGGTGGGGGGGGGTGGCCGTGCTGACATTCGGGCCACCAGGAATTGTCCGGTGAGTGTGCGGGGCGACGCGAGCTGCGGGGAGGGGTCGCGGCGGGGCCGGGGGCCGGCGGGAGCGCAACTTGCTCGGCGGCTTTCTCCGCGGCCGAGCGTGCTGTTCGCTCGGGCTCCTGGGTCCTCCCGCCCCCGCCTGGGCGACGTCGAGTCGGGGAGGCGGCGGGAGCCGAGTTTGCGGCGCCTGCATCCCGCGCCTTCGCCGGAGGAAGCGCCTTTGTCAGGCGCGGCGCGGCGCGGCGCGCCCGCCCTCCCCCGCCGCGGCCGAGCGGCGTCCGGCCCGGAGCCCCGAGCGCCCCGTGCGCCGGGCTGCGGGCGGGGAGGCCCAGCGCCGGGAAAGAGAAACAAAGGGGGCCTGGAGTGGGCTTTCCTTTTGTGTGTGCGGAGCTGGGAACTTGTTTCTGCATCCTTACGTAACGCGGACTTCCAAGTTAGTCATTCTTTTTTATTGCTGGGATTATTGTCATCATCTCTGCGCGTCTCTCTCTCTAATTCCTTTCATCTTTGGACCTCAGAGCATTTATAAAGAAAACACTAATTTCATCTCCGAGGCCCAAGCAGCGCGAGTACATACATACATACCTACATACATGCCCGTTTCCGTAAGTGGGTAAACTGAGGTCCAGAAAGCTGTGTAATTGATGGGGATGCTTGGTCTGCCGCGCCTGCTGTCCGAGGCTCCGAAGGCGTTGGTGAGTAATAATAACTCGCCGTGGAAAAGTTAAAGATGCTCATTTTGCTCACAGGTGAACCAAAGTATGAAAGAAGTCTGGGGTAATTGTTAGGTAGTTCAGACAATAGTTCTTTTTCACACAGAGTTTGAATTCGAGTCTTGAAACCTCAAAGGACTTCTTGAAAAACGTTCGGAGGGGAGAAGATACAGAAAATCACCCACTCAGCTTATCTGTTTTTTTGTTTTTTTTTTTTTTAATCTTAATACGTGCGAGTCTTTTAGGAAACTAGAGAGCAGTGGTGGCGGGGGTGGGGAAGTAGAGTGTTGGGATCGTTTTTAAAATGCAATACGTTTTAGTCATTATGCACCACAGAACGTGCCTTGGTTTGAGCGTTACTTCCCTCCCATCCCTTGATTATCAGTCTATTCAGAAAACATTTCTGAGCCCTTTATAAAGAGTCGTTTTTGAACAAGAAATGAAACGTGTTTAAATATATTAAAAGATTACCTATTTGTTTTGGATCAAAAGCGGTTTACTTTTTCTTAGTCTTCCCAATGTTACTTTGCTTTCATAGCAGGAGATCTTTTGTTTCAGATACAGCATTGTCTTCTACATTGAATCTGCAGAGGAGAAATGAGTTTATTATTCAGTTTCAATAGGAGTGTGAATTTTAGTCTTTGAATTTTGGGAAGGTTCTGTTTCTGCAGTACTATTTCAGCTTATGATACGTTTTCTTCATAGCAGAAAAATATTTTCCGAGCATAATCAGACTTATGTGCCTCAAAACGTCATGATTGTGTAAATACAGCACAGGAATTATTTATTTTTTTATTCAGAACTTGTAGAGCAAAATCCTTTAAAGGGCAATTTTATTTATTTTGGTACTTTTTGTTCTGGGGTACCAAACTGAAAGGTACCAAAAAATTAAATCATTTCTAACAGATTTTTATTGAGATGAGAATGAACAGAGTTATAGCAAAAGCAAATACTTTTACTTTAGAAATTTGTATTGTACAGCTGCCCCTAGATTATACTTTCTGGTGGTTGCATCACAAAATGAAAGTGAGACATGTATTGCTTTGTACTTTTTTCCACAGTCTTCTAACTTACCTCTTTCTATAATTTAAGAGACCCTGGGTTTAACACAAACAGTTGGAAAATAGAATGTTAAGTGTGTGGAAGGTAATGTGTTGTAAAGTGATTATGATTCCTCAACGAATAAATTTAAAGCTTTAAAAAAAGGGAACTATCTCCTAGATTTTTATGATCTTGGTCAGTAGTGTCATATTTATTGATTTGAAAAAAGTAAGCTTGAAATCTCTTATAGTGGCAGATTTCAGGATTTTGTGCTCCTGAAGATTGACATTTTATCTTACAGTCACGTTATGTTGAACTTTATTTCTTAGTACTTACCAACTAGATTTATCAGAGTCATTTGTACTTTGAGGAATCCACTCAGTGCCTTTACTCAAATCCTGGAGTCTAAAGGCAAAAGTCGACTGTTGAAGCCGGGCTTTGTAGGTTTCCCAGTTTCTTTGGGATGCCTCAAAACAAATAATGAAGCCTGGGGGGAGGGGGCGGAGACGGCTGGAGGAAGGAGGGCGGGCAGAAAACTGAGGTGAGTACTAATGAGGCAAGTGTCCAGGGGAAATCTAAGGATGTTTCCATTTGACTTAGTTTCTGCTTCCTTTGGGGTTATCAAAATGTCAATTGTAAAAGTTGTCATTTCAGAATATGCTTTATTGTGGGTTTCTAGTAGCTCAGATGATACAAGGACTATAAAACTACTACTTTGTGAACAGCTCAGGTTTTCCATAAAACCTTTATCTGGGAAAGACGTTAGTTTAAGACTTAATATTGAAAACTATCTTCCTAATGTCTAACATGCACCATACATTTTACCATTGAACATTAATATAGACCTATCACTTGAATCAGTTTACTGAAATTATCATACATGTATTTTAACTGTATATATGAAAATTTCCTAATGACCAATTTATGATGTCAATGAGATGGTTTTAGGAATTCCTTTGAAAAATCATATTCAAATTAATATCGTTTAGCTGAAGAAAATAGATATAGGAACCAGTGAAGGAAACAAAAAAATCAACAGTGAAAAAAAATGATGATGATACTTTAAAGAGTCTAATATTAAAGATTTCTGGCAGCATTTATAAACAGGTATCAAAATTCTAGCAGTGAATTCTACTTAGCACTTTCTGTTTACAGAATTTTTTTTTAGCCACCTTTCCCAGATTTTCTCTAAATATATTATACATAGCACGTAAATAGAAGTCATTCTTTCAAGGGATTTGTGTTTCTGGACTTTTAGTTTTTACATTTGTGGTAGTGGGCAGTTTATTGATTAAAGTTTGGTTTATTCTAGAGAAAGATTTTCCCCAGATTAATGTTGGGAAACTCCAGAGAAGAAATATTGGTCACTCAAAGATCTAGATACGATCTTCTGCTATTAGCTTTTTAAAAATGTTATCTTAAGCAGATCACTTCTTTAGTTTTGCCTTCAGAGATTGAAAATAATTGCCAGACATGTTATACTTTGTATGTCCTAAATTTTTGCTGTTCCTGAATGCATTTATAATAAAGAGAAAGCACAGTTGCTTATGTGAATATAAGGGAAATTCCTTTCTTTTTTTAATGGAAATAAGAATCAAAACATGCATTTGATTCAATTTTTTTTTTAAGACAAGATCTTGCTGTGTAGCCCAGGCCTTCCTTGAACTCCATATCCTTCCTTACACTTTTGCCTCTCTAGTGCTGGGATTACAAATGTGAACAGCCCCCCCTCCCCAACAGCATTTCTCTAATTTCAAAATAAGCTTTGATTACTTATTTCTGTTAAAAAGGGGGGAAAAAGCACCAATTTGTCTGATATTCACTCAAATCTTGTATTTTTTTCTGTTATAAATTTATTGTCGCAACAACAACAAAAAAATCCATCAGGTAATTAAGAGAAGTGAATTGCAAATGATTCTAAGAAGACCTTTTTCTTTTTTTCAGAATATTGTACGAAGTGTTGTAGTTTAGGGTTTTGTTTGTTTGCCACTGAAAGCTATTTCAGAGAAATAGAGCTCTACATAATACTCTTATATCACCCCATAATGCTTTTATGCCTCAAAATATCATTTACAGAAAATAGAATATATTGTTGAGGCTTACAAATGGGAGAATCCTGACATTTGTCATACTGCCAATTACTCTTGACCAGTTATGTAGTTAAAAAAATTAATTCAAGGGCTGAGAAAGTGGCTCAGTGGTAGAGCGCTTGCCTTGCATGCATGAGGCCCTGGGTTTGATTCCTCAGCACCCCATAAGCAGAAAAAAAAAAACCGGAAGTGGTGCTATGGCTCAAGTGGTAGGGTGCTAGCCTTGAGCTGAAGAGCTGAGGGACAGCGCCCAGTCCCAGAGTTCAGGCCCATGACCGGACCCAAAAAAAAAAATAATTCAATATGTATGTAGTTTACTTCCTTTACAGAGCATTTCTTGCTGATTTTATTTTATAATGAACCTCTTGGGATGTTTCTAATTTAAGAAATATGCAGTATCCCCAGCTCCCCACAATCTTCTTCATTCTTTTTCTAGGTGTCCATCTGTCTGTACCCTGAGTCGTGGGGCTTGAACTCAGGGCCTAAGTACATTGCTCAAGGTTAGTGCTCTACAACTTTGAGCTACAGCTTCACTTTTAGATCTTTGATGGTCAGTTGGAATTAAGAGAGACTTTCCCGTGGGAGATAGGTTTGAACCACAATCCTCAGATCTCAGCCTCTTGAATAGCTAGACTTACAGGCATGAGCAACCAATGCCCCGCCGTTTTTCTTTTATTTGTTTTTGTTTTTTTTTGCTGTCGTTTTCTTCTCCCGTAAACTTAAGTTTCAGCTAAAATTCACCGTACGTGTTTCGTGTTTCGTTCTACTCTGGGAGAAGAGTACACTTTTGAAGGAGGCGTAAGTAGGAATATCAATCAAGTAGATACTTCCTTAAGTATCAAATCTGATTGTTCTGTGGTTACTGAGATATGCTTTTCCACTTAGTAGGAAAGAGTGCTAGGATTAGCATTTTTTGCTACTAGACTTGGGGCATAAATGCCAGATATTCATTCAGTGTTTACTGGGTACTTTTTATATATCAGGCACTGGTGTAGGTATAGACTGTGTGCCTTCCAGTGTGTTTACAATCTAATCCTAAGACCTGGACAAAAAAAAAAGTAGGGCTAGGATTGTACTTTAGTGATAGAGTGTTTGTCTATCATATATGAGGCCCTGAATTTGATCCTAAGTGCTTCAAATGCTTCAAGAAGAAATGA